TTTGCCGCTTGATCTACTACTGAGGTCAGTTGCATTTATCATGCAGAAATGATTCTGACATCAGTTCAGCAGTTAATGTTACTATAGGACAAATAACAGTTGAGAAGTGATGTGCCACTTGAGTTGCTAATTAACAACCACAGGAATAACATGTGCCAGATGAAGAAAATTTACTTATAGTGTTGAGGTATTTAAAGGTATGTGTTATGCAGAAGTTTTTCTGTTGTCTTATCCTTAAACTATTTTTGCTTTCCTACATAGTAAGCTTATGGACACTGGAGAATAGCAGACGATAGAATCCCCGGAAGAAATCAGGTTTTTTAATAAACACGTCTTAAATTTATATAATATTTTTTTAACATAAATATGTTGTTTCCTGAGAGGCCTCAGTGCTGCCTCAACATAGAGCCTCCTGCTGAGAGCTTTCCCATGACAGGAAGCCTGGAGTACAAAAAGGGCGTTAAGTGAGCCTCAGGACCCCACAACATTCAAGTGCTGTCTTCCATTACCTGGAAGTCGTTATATTAAGCCATATATTTCCAAATAAACACCATTACGCTTCAGTCTCATATGTATAGCCACTAGTTTCCGTAGACCAAGTTGTTACCTGTCTCACACTAGCAGGCTCTTTTCATCTTTGTAAGTTAAATCTGTTTTCTGCGTATTAATGTTTCCTTGTATTTTCTTCTTTTGTATAGCTGGAGTGCCAAGCTGTATCTGACCCCAAGTAACATTGTGCTGCTAACAGCTATAGCCTTAATTGGTGTCTGCGTTTTCATCCTGGCAATAATTGGCATATTACACTGGCAAGAAAAGGTAAGCTTAATTAACTAGATTTTTTTCCTATATTTTCTATACTATTTAACACTTCCTAATATTTTACAGTCTTGTACATTGGGTTTTTGACTAGTTTTCTACAGTATAGTTTCTGACACAGACTGCATTAATTCCCAAAAGGTGTTTATTATTAATTCAGTATTTATTGCAAGCTTAGAAATTGGCATTGTTTTTATGTAAGCTCTAAGACACTTAAAAAGGGAAATGAAGAGCAACACGGATAAGCTCTTGCCACTCAGCTGTTATTCCTAACTAAACGAGACTGGTTTGTTTCATATCCAAGCTTTCGATTTTGCAGAGTTTTAAGGAGTACTGTTTTGGAAAATAGAACGTAAACTCAGTTTACTTACCTTGAGTTCTGCCGGTAATCTAAAAATAAGGAAAACATCTCTTTTTCTGTATCTGTCTTTGCTGATTGCAACTGCCATTAGCATTCAAGACTGTATAGGGAGTCAATCATGTGCATATTGGCTGCTTTGCTCTCTGAATTATACATGCAGTGTATAGAAATCCATTGATTTGAAGAAGCATTTTGAAAGGGGCCTTTCATATCACAAAAGAAATGCGTTCCCATTTTTCTTAACTATGCTCAGCTCACAATCATATCCAACTGGCAGGATTGCCAATAAATGCTACTACATACCCAAACCATAATCTTAGCTGTCAAATAAAATTACTGCACATTTTGACATGGTAGAACTGTTTGTTATTTTGTGCTTGTGGAAATGAAATGACCTTGTTAAACATTCGGGTAGGCTTTGCGCATGCTTCATATTTAAATAAAACACACAAAGCAAAGAAATACAAAGTTTATGATGACTGTCCTTAGCATGTCCTACTGTACCAAGAAAGCATTGCTAGCTGGTGGCTAGGACTATGCACTGGCTGGGGTTAACTCTCTCCAACACATCTTAAACAACAAGATTAGGAGAAAAAATACTTGGACTTCGAGTTGCAGAAGGATTAACTATGTATAATTCCACCTGGAGAAATGGAGATTTAATGTCAATGTTTAAAACAATCCTTCGTATTGTAATTTAAAGAAGCACTCGGCCCAGAGTGAGTGCTTTCTGAGCCATTTTAAACCCCATTAGGTATATGTGAATGAGGTGGTGTATAGGTCATATTATAAACTCATTTCCAACAGCTGCATCATGCTCAAAATAGGCATAAATATTTGGATAAATTGTGTGTGTTTTCAGAGTACTGTATAAACGTTTGTTAATTCCTGTGATTTTCCAGTGCCCTCCTATTGATTTTTACCTTCCCAATTTTTAGAAGAAATGGTTGAGGTACAGAACAAGTAAGAATCTTGACCAAGGCTGTATTGTGCATCTCTGACGTGACTGGGAGTGAAACTCAGGAGTTCCTTGTTTCTAAGCTCGTTCTTGGTTTACTGCCTCTTCCAGTAATCCTCTCGTAAAAATACTGGTCTGCCTAAATGCTGTTTTCCCTTACAGACTCTAGAGTACCTATAGCAAAGAAAGGAAGGGGAAAGGTACTGGCAGTTACAGTCTCTTCTTTTCCCCCAGAGGATGTATCTGTCTGTAAGCTGCAGTGTTTTATTCAGCAGTTACAATAAACCATGTACTTTGACCCCTGCAGAGAAGTAGTAGTAGGAGCCCTTTGTCTACAATAGTTCTTATACATTCATCTACCAGCCAAGTATTGTATTGTTTAAGTAACTGTAGGATTTAGGGATAGTATGTTTCTCTGTCATGCCATAGAAATTTTGGATCCCTTAAAAAAAAAAAAAAAAAAGCTTTTAAATATCAGTTACTAGTTTTTAGTTTTGATACATCAAATGAAAGAGAAATTGAGGAATAATTTACACCATTATTCATCTTACAACAATCTAGTCTGCTACATTAGCTAAGGACCTTGATATTCCTCTATTCTGATTCTTTATAACTTGGTTTGTGGTCTTGAGGCTAGTCATGTGCACACTACACATGGATGATAATACTGCTAGAGAAGTTTCGATGGATTCATCAGAGTATCAGTTACTGTCAAATTTGAAGTAGTAATTTTTTCAGGAAGCGTACAAGAAATGGAGTGAAAATTGCTTTCCAAGTGAGACTGTAAAATTCTGTGCAATGTGAGAAGCATTTCAATGTAGGAAAGAGTATGCCACTCCCTTCTTCCCACCCCATTTCCGACATTCAGAATACTACTGACATTGATAAAGTCCCTGCCAAAAAGGCAGACTGATGTATCTTAAACTCCACTGACAGCTCTGCTGCTGCCACAAAATGCAGTAAAATCCATAGTTAATCCAATGGAGTTGCTGTCATACAGAAACGTTGTGTGATGAGGAAATCTTTGGCCTCGAGCCAAAGCAGATGACAAACTTTCATGGCAGAACACATGCACTGATTTCTACCAAAATTGTCATGTATATTTATCAACTGAGATACAAATCTGAATGCCCACACAACAGCATACTGTAAAGGCTTTTCTTCGTTTTACTAATTTAAAAAAAAAAAAAAAAAGCTAGGTATAAGCAAGCTAAAAAGCATTTAAATCTGTTTTGCTAAGTTCTCTTATGCTAGGATTTACACATACTGTTTGTCATGACAAAAACACAGTTTTCTAGAAAAGTTCACACTATGTGTTGAAAAATCCTTTAATAAGTGCTTTCATAATCCATCACTGCTTTAGAGCACAAGAGGAGGCTTGTGGGAGAGGACGTGTTTTTACACATTACATGGATTTTAGGTGCAATTTAAATACGTTTCTTTTTTTCCAAGCACCATCCAAATTATTCTTTCAGCAGATCAATGTGTGTTCTGTGTAAATAAGCAGGGAAATGCATCCTACCTCACATTTTCGTAACACAAACAAAAACATGGAACATTTTTAACCTACTGGATGCTGTTAATTGTTGGTTGAACTGCCACCTTTGTCTCAATTTGTATTTAACAGAATTTTTTAAAAAGAATCACCTTTTAAGTGTAACATAGATGACACTTAACAGTTAATCGAGAGTCATTTAATCTTGTATTTATAATACAGACGAAATAAATGCATACTAGGAAACAGTCTTTGTTTTTCAAATATTCCTTTAAAAAAAGCATTATTAGGAATAATAGAAAATAATGGGTCATAAATACTAAAACAGCTGAGCATTAACAGCAGAAGCCAATTTTGAGTAGATTATTGCTATTTCAAACTGACATCATTTAAAAGCTAATTATCGGGGCCTTTTACTAAGCTTTTTGCTTTTTGTCAAATGAGTGACTTGGAAAAAATCAACCATTCTCCGACATTTGACAACCCGTTTCTGTAACTGTATTGCCCCAGATCCCACAAAGTGTTTTTTTATTATTATTTTTCAGAAAGCAGATGACAGAGAGAAGCGACAGGAGGCTCATCGGTTCCATTTTGATGCTATGTGACATGCCTTAATATTATGAAGGAGCTGCTACTCATTTGCTTAATTGAAATACTAAGTTCTGATTTGTGAAATGATTACCGTGAAAATACTGCTGGTGTGCTATTTGTAAATGTTGCATTATTTGGTATTTATTTGGAAAGTATTAAAATTAGACCTGAATGTCTCTCAAGGCCTTTCAGTTAACAGACTGTACATAATAGCGTTTGGTCTTCATTTAACAGAACTGTAAATTTATTTTTCTTAGTAAAGAGATGAAATTGCATGTACCATTGTTTACGTATCCCAATTCTTTAGTAATATTTGATAGAAAGACAGTTGTGTAAATAAAGTTTAGCATTTCAGCGAGCAGAATACTTTGTACCACTTGGTCTTGTCATTTATACATTCCTGCAAAACAACCTGCATTTCTGAAAATGAAGCTTGAGCAATTTCTCAGATGACTTGATCGTTAATTATTTTGGTTGTACTAAATGGTGCTCAACCTGTCTGTATTTTTCTTTGTTTAAATCCATTTGTGCCATAGTTAAAGAATTTAGGAATTGGAGAACTAGAAGGAACCTGCAATGTTGATGCTAGTTCAGTAGCTCATCATGGGATAGATGCGGTATTTATGTGTGTTAGTTCTAGAGAGAAGACAACGCATTAAAAAATTAAAATCATAAAAATATATCAGCATTACATAAACGGCTTTTATAATTAAACTATAACCACATTTATTTTAGAAAGGCCTAAAGTCATTATGAATGTAACTTTTTTTTTTTTTTTTTTTTTTTTTTTTACTTCTAAGAAAGGTATGGGGGTTTTTTGTTTGGCTTTGTTTTTAAAGAAGTTAAAAGAAACATTGTGGAGTAGAAGGAGAGTAAGTAGAAGGAGAATAAGGATTAACTCCCTAAAATTTATTGCTAAGGGATAAGATATACAAAGATTAAATTAAGAATATAATAGGACGCTCGGAATAAGCAATGTACGTTATCTATGTACACTACTATGCCCAAATTTCCTAAGGCTGTAGTAATTACATAAGACGAGTAGCTCAACTTTCTATTTTTAAAATGGTAATAATGTTACAATCGCTCAGTGTACTTTGGATCGTGGAAGAGTCTCTAAAAATAATCATGCTTTTATTTAATAGTTATTTCTTAGTGATATGAGTTTACATGATTAATTGTGCATTTAAATCTGTCAACTTGCACTCCTAATAAATACTGTTTGGTAAACCAGAACGCACTTTCTCAACAAACTACAACGTGTTGGTCTTACCTACTGCAGAGGTGATTGCCTGTATCTCCTCCGGTCCGGTGCTTGTCCTGTAACACTACCTTTGCTTGGCAATACAGGCATAGAAAAGAGAGAGCATGTACAAAGCTGAACCGATTACGTCCACCCTGAATCACAGTCAAACAATTTGTTACCATGGCAGTGCTGAACAGTGACCCATTCATACAGCAGCACCGAGCCAAAAGTCAGAAAAGTACCGATAAGCGGTCTACTACGCTGTGAAGTTTTACTAGGTATTTCTAATGCGAACTGATCAGATTCCAACAAAGGAGACCCTCGTATTACACTACTCTCACTATTCAGGATAGCGTATTTCCCCGATGCACACCTTTAATATTTCTCTGAGTGGCATGAAGAGGTAAGATTTTTTTCAGATAAATACTTAATGCTATTGGACTTTTTAAACCCCATCGATAGAATTTGCTCCTGCCAGCAAAAGTAATAACTGATTTCATAATTAAGAGGAAGCACAATTCGATGTATTTTCCTGTCTTTTTCAGATGGTTGGAGAATAAGGCTGAACACATAAATCCACTGTAGCAGCAAAGTTGTCTGTAGCCCTGTATCACAATATAATAAACATAGATGAGCAATTTCCTTACATTTTTTGGAAAAACAATTGGGAATGAAATAACCTCGTGCTGACGTTTAAGCTGTTGTCAAGTTAACAAAACAATGAACTCGATATCTTTTGCTTTAAAGTATTTTGCATGCTCAGTAGTGCATCATTGCATCACTTTTATATAAGTGCTCCATTATTGGTGCTTTAATAGCTTTCTTATAATAAAGTTTACCACAGATTCTACCTACTCCTGGCTTGGCTCACAATAGTATATATACTACTTTCAGTTAAGGCATTAAATATTGTTAACTGCTAAACCTCTTGTCAAAGGTTTCATGTCATACTTTGGTTTTCTACTCTATAAGCATGAAAAATATGTTTGGGTAAGGTTATTACCCTTCCACCAGTAAGTTTAAGAAAGCAGCATCAATTAGAAAGTGTAGTTCCAGGTGATTGTCACAGTAACTGAGAAGTGAGAGATAGTTCTAGCTACATAAATTTTCAAAATCCGTCCACCATAACACAGCCTTGGTGAGAAATGCTATTGGAAGGCTTCTTCAGTGTGAAATCTCACCTATATAAAAATACTGTTGACACGCCAACTGACAGATGGCTGTTAAAATACCATCTTTCTTTGTTCTCATTTTCCATGAGAAGCTTTAAGACTGAATCATGCTACCAGATTTATCATTAATGCGCTATAATCCCCCAACAAAAGAACCAACTTTTCTGCTGCAGATTAATAGGTGTATTCTATATAGCATGATATTCCCCCTATGATGAGGCCATCGTTCTTAACAGACAGCTTTATTAAAAATAGTTGCTCCAATTAATTGAAAAGTAATCACTATAAATGCACCAAGTCAGTTTAGGACTTTTATAACTACTTTCAAGTAAGTGATACCTAAATAGAACAGGAGAAGGCAATCTGTAAGTTTCTACTACATTATAATCATCAGAGCTTAGTTTTGTTAAAACAATGCAAAAGCATTAACTATGCCAGTTCTGAAGGTATTAATAACCAAAAGAATTATTTTTAAAAATCCAGCAAATAAAAATTGTGCTTAAAATCATCTCAAACTTTGCAAATAAATAGTATTAAGGCCAGTGATTCCACAAAAACATCTGCAATTCAAAGGCATTTTAAAGGGATGGGCAATTTTTTTTATCAGAGACAGAAGTATGTCAAGAAATCGAGAGCAATAGAGATGTTAAATCTGAAATATTGTTATGCTGTTTCAGTAGCCCTATTATCCATTCTATTTTTTTTTTTCCATTTTGGTGACAAGATCTTTTTGTTGAGACACTAGTAATATCGGCCTCAGGTGTCACTTTGAAAATAATCAGCCCCACAGCACTATTTTTATAATTAATTCCTTGTCTTCAATGAAAAATGTGATCCTATCTATGATACAATCCATAAAAATTGTAAAATATATGCTAACCTTATTCCGAAATTCCTGAATTTCCTGACTCAAGCCAGAAAAGTTTGTAGGTATATTCTAATACTCAGAGCTAATGATATTGCCTAGCAAACAGAGAAGTGCGCAGTGAGCTTTCTGAAGACTATCCGTGTTCTTCATGACTATTTGAAAGTTTGCAGTGTTCTTAACTCAGTAGTAAATAGCAAAGCCAATTATATGTATTTATGTATTATTACATATTATGTTGCCACACTAAGAGGCACTTTCTATCATTTTCTAATTAGAAATTGTACATCATTAAGATTTATCAAATGCACCTAAATCCTATTGACAACGCCAGGTACGAGAAGAGTTGAAATGTAACTCCTAACTTCCTTTCATAATTATTCACTGATGACATCTGTATTTTTGCAACCTCTTTTAAAAACAATATCCAGATAGCCTCAAACATAGTAAAAAAACTGCTGGTCTAAGGCTATTTGTGATGTACAGTCTGCTACTCCAGAGCAGCAAATACTTTAGGTAATATTAAAGCTTCCAGCAGAACAGCAAACCAAAGGAAGTTTTAAGGAAGAACTGGTGGGAGAAGGCAAAGCCAGTGCTAATAATGGAAATTTAAGACTTTTATTGCAGCAAAGCACCTATTAGAACTGCTTGTTCTTTAACTGTCCATGCAGGTATTTACCTGCATCAGAAGGAGCAGTCCCACTGCCTTCTGGGAACTACTCCCATTCAAAAATAATCACGATGACTCAACAGAGCCACAGAACAATACACAACTGGCTGTCCAAAAGCTATCTTCAACCTTTCTGGCTCCCAGATTCAAGTTTAACTGAAGCTTACTGCAGGCTTGGCCCGGTGGCACAGCGTTTGCTTCCGTGGAAGCCAGCACTCTGCAGGCTGGGAAAATGGGAAGTGAAAGTTTCTTCAGACCTGTCACTAGTTTACTATGAAATACTTTAAAGCACCACCTATGACAAGAACTCGAGCAAGACAAAGCGACAGGGATGATGGCCATGTGAGGAATTTCTCTGAAAGCAGCAGTAAACGATGGCAGAATATGCCCCACATCCCTGAGCTGATGCTACTATGTGTGTCTCCCGCAGTGACAGCTTGACGCAGCCCTGGTGTGCAACAGCTCTGCTCAACCTTCTGATGGGCAAGCTAGAAGTTCAACTTTTCAGTTAAATTGACTGCAGGAGATGGGTCTTTGCAATTACTACCAACTGGCATGGAGCACGAGATACTACCGGGTTTTTCTGTTTCTTTGGTGTGAGACAATTGACCACAAATAGTTTTCCTGAATGCAGATTCAGCTTGAGATCTGAGACTCAGGCTAGTTCTCTCATTTCTTGTGTCAGCACAAGTAATAAAAATATCCGAGCCAAATTTTGCCATCAGCTACACTGTGCATTCCAAAAAA